AAAAAAAAATCATCAAAAAAACCACTTAATTTGTTTATAACTATTAATTGCACGCACTTACATAAAAAATACCACCGGATTCGGATTTCTCATATCCGAAAACATAAGAAAACACCTCAAAACCTTACCGCACTAGAAGTGCACACGGGAAGGGGGTATTGCGTGTGGACTATGTATCTTTTATCATAAATTTAACTTTTTCAATCATCAAATTTGTCAATTAAATTGCATGAATATTCAGTGTCATTTAAATGACATTTTGCCCATAATTATTATTTTTGTAAACATTCGTTGTTTCTAAATGAAAAATTGAAATTTTTTCAACATTTGAAAACCTCATTTTTTTAGGGATAAAATTAATTTTTGATAAAACTATGAATATGAATAAATTGCTTACGATTCCACACAAATGATTTTTATCATTGTTTATAAATTATTTACAGAAAATGCTCATAATGTTCAAAAATTGCACTTTTTAGTCATTTCATCAAACTTCCTCTAAAAGTGAACTCTATTTTTTTCCAGATTTTTTAAATATTTTCTAACTGTTCAATATCGAGATTCAAATTCTGACTTGTAAAGTTTAAATAATAAAATCATTGCAAAATATCCGGGAACTTAGGATCAAATGGGGCTCAAATGAAAGCTCTGATGTTCGACTTTAAAAATAGAAAATCATTTCAATGGAGAAAAAATAGCCAAATACTTGGATATCCTTAATGCCCATCAAATGGGGAAATCAAAGTAAACCCGAACCCGATCAGCGATAAAGTCCATTCCCTCCTTTACCGACCCCTCGTGCTAACGAATCGACGTAGAAACCTCGCGCGATCCCCACAAGTGATATCGAGCATCAGAGGGAGAGCGTGACGGCCCGAGTGCGCGGGTAAAACGAAAGAATGTTCACTTGGGCTAGATTTCTCTCACCTGCAGTTCCGCCTGGGACACGTCGATCTCGCCCTTGTAAACGAATTCAATGATAAACTTGAGATCATTGAAACACACGTCCTGGGGCATTATGATTGTCGGATGTTTGCAGGGATTCGAGAGCAGCAGCTTTTTGAAGTACGAGCTGCAGGCCGACAGAACCACCTGCGAAATCAAAATACCACGAGTGAGAATTCACCTCTGATTGTCCGGAGATTGTGGAATTACGTCACTCGTTGCATCCACACGCGATAAGACTTCGCGAGTCGAGATATCGCGAGATAGTCCGTGCAATATCTCGGTTTTCCCCATTCTCATAATTTATTTGCGAACAAAAAAATTGGAATTTCACGAGCAGTTCAGGAAGAATTTTCGGAAGAGTGACGTTAGGTCGACGATGGGTTTCATTCAGGAGAAAAAAATATCATCAAATGAGAAAACAGAATTAATTTTCAACTGAACTTCAATTTTTGGCCCAAAAATGCCCCGAATTTGCGCTCAATTAAAAATGAAAAATATGTTTAGCTGAAATTTCCGTGAAAATCATCAAATTTTCCGAGATTCGAACACGAAAAAAATTTGAATTTTACGAGCAGTTCAGTAAGAATTTTCAGAAGAGTAACGTTGGGTGACAATGGGTTTCATTCAGGAGAAAAAAAACATCATCAAATGGTTAAACAGAATTAATTTTCAACTGAACATTAATTTTTGGTCCAAAATTAAAAATGAAAAATCTGTTCAGATGAAATTTCCGTGAAAATCGTGAAATTTTCCGAGATTCAAAGACGAAGACGATTTGTAAAGCGAAAAAAATTTCCAATCATCTTCATAATTCCCCCCCGCCTCAACAAATTAAATGCAGCCTACCTTGTGCGCCTTTAGCGAGGCCTCATTGCAGGCGAGTGTGACGTCCACGAAGGCTTCAGTCTGAAGTAGTTGGTGAAAAACAGATGTCATGTTCGACTGGTAGTTGTTCCACCGCAGGCAGTAGTGCTGCCCGGCCATCCCTCCGCTGGACACCACCGGAACAATCACAATCATTAATAAATAAATCACGAATGACGTAATTGCTAATGAAAATACCTGTAATGAGTGCCGCAGTAGCGGGGAAATTCAGTCATAATTCATGAAGAAAAATATAAACAAAAGGGAAATAGCGGTGTGAAGAGCGGAAGTGGCATGCGACGAGCCCAAGGACCTAATATCCTTCGAAGGCTGATAAAGTAGGGAGTCCCGGTGGAAAGCTACCAGGAATCGATTAGCCAGGGTGTTCCACTTCCCAGCAACTTCAACTCTCTCTTCTCTCTCTCTCTCTCTCTCTTTCTCTCCCTCATGCAAATCCCCAGGAATATAACACGCAGGTTAAACACTCGTCACGTCCTCACGAGAATAATCACTTGCGGTCGCAGGATGACACGCTATCGAGTGCTTTATTCGTCGGGCGTTGGTCTTGTATCCAGCAATTTCACCTGTTCCCTGAACCGCTCTTTATCTTTCTCTATCTATGCGACACTTTATACCGGCTATTCGGCGTTATCTGTCCGTAGACACACGGACTTTTATCAGGTGCTTAGACGCGACAACGATAACGGACAGTCTAAGCTCCATTTTCTTCCTCTTCTTTTTCGCCCGCCGTTCCCTCCCATTCCGATCCCCGTCTCTCTCTCTCTCTCTCTCTCTGCCGCGACTGTTATTTTTTTTCCGGATGGTAATTTTTTTCCTCTTTCCTCTTATTCTCGACTTGGCGCGACTCGTTTCTCATTTTTTTCCCCTCCTTTTGTATCCGAACGTCTACCGACGTCTCAGAATGTCTCAATTATTCATTGCCAGGAGGAATTGGATCAATGACGCTTCAAACTGTGTAACTATACACTTTTTTTTGCACTTGTTCGTCCTCACCTCTCACTTATTCAAATGAAATTTGATTTTTATTTAAACGATATATTTTTCACTCTATTTGTGAAACGTCTGGTGTATCGCGAAATTGGGTTAACTGTATACTGTAGTCTTGATAACGAGAGCGAGAAGTGTTAACGACATCTCTCAACCTGTTATACTTCATCCATATCTTCGTGGTCTCTCGGTTTAATTTGTTTAAATTGTGGGTTTGAAAATGGAATATCACCGGGTCGGTTTATCGATTTTCCGGGCTTCTGAAATTCTCAACGAATTCGCCAATTTTCCAATCCCCCCCCCGGGGGGGGGGACACATTAACAATACATGGGAAAAATGTCTCTCCTGTGGCTGAAAATACCCGTGATTCTAGCAACGGCATTAATTTCGTTCCATCAACAAACATATTCTCCATAATGCGGGAGCACTCGCAAATCCTTTGTCTGCGTGGAGAAAGGAAAAAGGAATGGATGAGGGGAAGAAAATCGGGTGGGCGAAGGGCTTTCCGTTGGACTCGGTTCGACCCGAGAGGGAAAAAGCGAGTCATCCCTCTTCGTCTAGAGACCCAACTCCTTCGAAAGCAGCCCCTCCCCCATTCCTTTTTCCTCTTCTCTGCGAGGATCGTCTCGGGTTTTCCTCGCCCCTTTTATCCCCTTTTCCAAGTACAAGACTCTTCAACAAGAAAATCCGTGTACTCTGGTGGAAATTTTCGTCTGAAATTCCCAGTACTTTCGGAAATTTTTATTTAATTTGATTACTACTGGAGTTTCAAGGAATTTCGTCATTGAAAATTGAGAATTTCGGGGAAAAATCAAAGGGAACTGTTCATTTCAGTTGCATTATACCTGAAAATTAATAGAAAACTAGAGAATTCTGGTAAATATATTTTTGAATTTTTAGGACAGTGACACTGAATGCGATTTAGTGGGAAAAAATAATGAAATTTCAGATTTCAGTGAAAATTCAATGCAATTTCACTGAAATTTAAATGAATTAAGGAATTCTCGTCTTTATACTGTTTAAAATTCTGGAATTTTACTGAAGTTTCAGTGAAACGTGAAATTTCATGACTTTTTTTTCCCCTAAATCGCATTCTGTGTTAATGGCCTGAAAATTAGTAGTCAGTTGTCCATGAAATTTCGTTTTTTCTAACAGTGTCTATACTGTTAGAAATTTTTTGAATATTAAGTAATAGTTGCACTTGAATTCTCAATGTTGCGAATTTGAATTCAATTTAAGATCAAACCGTTCATGGAATGTATGGAGTCCATTTTCTATTTCAGATTATCACTGATATTTCAATGACATCTAGAATTTTAAAAGTCATTGGGAAAATTGAACATCACATCCCACGGAATTTTCAGTGGATTGAAAATTCTGGAAAAATGTTGCTTCTACAACAATTCGCATAAAAACTATTATTCGCGTAAAAAACTATTAGTATATTTTACTGAAAAGAATTATTATTATTTCAAATAATTGATTTTTCAGTTTTATAATTATTACTTTTCATTATTATGATTATTCGTATTATTATTAAAAATAAAAAAAACAAAAAATGCGAATTTGAATTTTCGTGGAAATTTTCGTGGATGAAAGTTATTGAAATTATTCAATAACTTTTATAACCACGTGGGCCTGAAAATTGCAATTCCATTGAAACCTCCAGAATTCAACTGATTTTCCAATAGCAAAATACACAAAAATTTCGTGTGAACGAGTGATTGTTAAAAATTTCAAGATTTTCCACTTAAAATTTCAGGAATAATATTCCAACAGTGTACAGCCCAACGAATTCCGAAAAAATATCCGCCGACAGCGGCATTTTTCCTCCTCACACTTTTCGTTAGTCTCTCTCTCTCTCTCTCCCTCTCGCGTTTCCTTCCGCCGTCTCTCCTTTCCCCCGAAAGCCGTGTGGGAGAGAGAAAAATAAAACGAGGGTCACGTGTGCACACATTGTGTCCGTATGAGTGCTCTTCCTCTTCCCCTCGTTCTCCAGTTACCATTTGCTCTTCGGACGTCCCTTTCCCATCGAAGCATCGCTCACACACATGAACGAAAGACGCTATTTTCTCGTGGCCCCCTTTTTCTGGGCTTCTCTTTTCTCTTTATCCCCCAGCACCTCATCCCTCCCTTCTTCCTCTCTCTCTCTCGCCTCCTGCCCCCGCCCCTGCGCCCCTCTGACCCCATCACTTCTTTACATCCTCTCCTCTCCTTCTTTCTGCATTACCAACTCCCGCAAAACTCCTTCATCCTTCATCCTCCCTCCGTTCTTTTTATGTATTTTCTTTTTTTAATACTCTTTTTATACCTCTTCTCGTCTGTCTTCTCCCCTCATTTCTTCCTTCTCGGTGGAAGTTTCCGAGGCCACGGGGCTTTACCTCCTCCTTCTATTTTTCATCCTTTTTACTCCCTCGTACATGCACCCTTTTTCTCCTCCTCTCCCACCCACCTCTTACTCCACCTACTCCTGACTTTTACGTTTTTCCAACGTTATCGACGTTCCTTAGCGCTTTATCTCTCTCTTTCTCATTCTCGCGTTTTTCCTTTTTTTTTTACTTTTACGAAGAGGGGGATAGCAACTGCGAGCTTAGTGCTTCTACCCTGCAGGGGATAGGGAGACTGGAAGGTCTTTCAGGGTACAAAACTCAAGCAAATATTCCGGGCTTTTCACTGTTCTGTTCTGTTATGGGGAGGGAAAGGAGTGATTTTTTGGAGAAATTGGGGGGCGGAAGTAATGTTTAATATTTTTGGAGGAAATTTCCAATTGCACTTCTTGGAAATTTTTATCGCAGTGAAGTTCCACTGCAATTGCAGGGAATTTCGACATTAAAATTCAAATTTTTTCCTTTGTATTCTCGCGTTTTCCCTTTTTTTTTACTTTTACGAAAAGAAGAATAGAAGAAGAATACTCCAAGCGAGAGGAAGGTCTTTTCCAGGGAACAAAACTCAAGCAAATACTCCGGGCTTTTCACTGTTCTGTTCTGTTCTGAGAAAAGATTGAATTTGTTTGGAGAAAATACGAGCAAAAGTAATGTTTAACATTTTTGGCTGAAATTTCCGGTTGTACTTCTTGGAAATTTTTGTCGCAGTGGAGTTCCACTGAAATTGCAGGGAATTTCGACATTGAAATTCATATCTTTTTCTTTGTATTCTCGCGTTTTCCCTTTTTTTTACTTTTACGAAAAGAAGAATAGAAGAAGAATACTCCAAGCGAGAGGAAGGTCTTTTCCAGGGAACAAAACGCAAGCAAATACTCCGGGCTTTTCACTGTTCTGTTCTGTTCTGAGAAAAGATTGAATTTGTTTGGAGAAAATACGAGCAAAAGTAATGTTTAACATTTTTGGCTGAAATTTCCGGTTGTACTTCTTGGAAATTTTTGTCGCAGTGGAGTTCCACTGCAATTGCCGGGAATTTCGACACTAAAATTCATCTTTTCATCTTTTTCTTTGTATTCTCGCGTTTTCCCTTTTTTTTACTTTTACGAAAAGAAGAATAGAAGAAGAATACTGCAAGCGAGAGGGAAGGTCTTTTCCAGGGAACAAAACTCAAGCAAATACTCCGGGCTTTTCACTGTTGTTCTGGGAAATATTGAATTTGTTTGGAGAAAATATGAGCAAAAGTTTAACATTTATGTTTAACATTTTTGGCTGAAATTTCCGGTTGTCCTTCTTGGAAATTTTTGTTGCAGTGGAGTTCCACTGCAATTGCAGGGAATTTCGACAATAAAAATAAAAATCTTTTGCCTTTTATTCTCGCGTTGTCCTTTTTTTTTACTTTTACGAGAAGGAGGAAAACAGTCCTTTCCAGGGATCTAAACTCGAGCAAATCTCCGGGATTTTCCCTGCTCTGTTCTGTTCTGCGCAAAAGGATTCTATTTTTTAAAAAGAAATATCGGAGAATGCAATAATGATTATTTTTGGCCGGAATTTCCAGTTACATCCCTTGGAAATTTTTATCGCATTAGAGCTCCACTGAAATTGCAGGGAATTTCAACAGTAAAAATGCAAAATTTTCTCTTTTTCATTCTCGTGTTTTCCTTTTTTCCTTTTTGAAGAGGAGAATAGCAACGGCGAGCTTAGTGCTTCTACGCTGCGGGGGATAGGGAGACTGGAAGG